GTGGGGCTGGGTGAGCTGTGATTTCCCCCCAGGTGTACCTGGGATGACGTCTGACCCTGTCACACCAGTGTGTGTGACACTGCTGTGGGGCTGGGTGAGCTGTGATCTCCCCCCAGGTGTGCTTGGGATGATGTCTGACCCTGTCACCAGTGTGTGTGACACCTCTGTGGGATGGGAGCCACATTTCCTGCTCTGTGCCCCGTGGGTGCACGTGCACACATCCCAGGAGCATTTCTGCAGGGGATTGCCTGGTGCTGTGGGAAGAGAGGAATAAGAACAAGCTGAGCCAAAGCCACGGCTGGCTCCAGTTCCTCTGCAGGCAGTGCAGGAAGGGCTCTCAGGTGGCACTGGGGGGATTGTCCCTGGGGAAGCCCAGGAGCCAGAGCCATGCTGTGACCCTCTGGGGCAGTGAACTGCAGGCTGAGAGTCAGAGAGAGCAGCCAGAGGTTTGGTGTTTTACCCCTGGCAGTGCCCCAGCTGCTGGGTGTTCCCTCTGCCTCTCATCCTGCTGTCAGGATGACCCCGAGAGTCTCTTTTTCCCAACCCAATGGTTTAATAAAGAGTTGGGATTCTTCAGCTCTGGTTCACAAGGTTGTTTATTGTCTCTTGTCTAAAACACTCTTTTTCTGACCCGCAGAGCTCTGTCCATCAGGTCTGTCAAGGGCACACTGCCTGTCCCTGGGCTGGTGTCTGCATTTTATACTGTGAACTACCTGTACTTCATTTATCGTTATTTTCCAATACCTGTCACCTATGTTAGACTGTCTACTTCTGCTCTAAACCAATCAAATGTGCCACCATCACCCAGAAGATGGAGGCTATGAAGAAGAGCAGGACAACACCCACATCCCTCCATCTTGCCTCCCAGACCCCTGTAGTAAAATCCCCAAAACTCCACTCTTCACCCTGTGATTAATTCATCATCTCTCTATTTAAACTTCTGTGACTTGTGATTCTTCACACAAGGTTGGTCATTTGCTCCAAGGGTTAGGATTGAAATCCCAAGTGTCTCTGGCCCCCTGGCCGGGGTGTCCTGGGCTCTGACCCCTGCCCAGCTCAGAACCTCCTGGGTGATGTGGCTTCAACCCTTTTCCTTCACGGGCTCCTGGCATTCCTGGGGTTTTCTCAGTGATGTTCTACGGCATCCAGACTCCCTGCAAACCCTCTAGTGGGTCCTTTTAGGGAAATGGGAGAGGCAGGAAGGCCTGGGAGGGGCCATGTGCAGGGCACTGCTGGCAGCTGCCCCAGAGCAGGGCAGAAATCTCCTCTCTCCCCACTAAACACATTTTATTCCAGGCCAAAAGCAGAAAAACCTCAGCTCTCCTTCCAGAGAAAGTCTGGAGCCCCAGGCTCTTCCTTCAATTGTGAATTCTTTCAAAGCCCTTGTGTGGCTCTGCTGAATTTGGGGAGGGTGATGACAATTTAATCTGTTTTAAACAAGCTGCTGTAACCTGGCAGGTGAGTGATTATTAACACAATCTTGTGTATTTCCTTAATGTGCCTGCTTTGTAATAGAAGAATTTATTTTTTTTCCTAAGTTTTGTTATTCAGTCTCGTGTGAAACATTCAGTTTGGTTGCTCCAGTCACATTTTATTAGGCAATATAACACAGACTGGCTTAGTGGCATTTTGGTGGATAATATGACAAATTTAGTTTCTTTTTTAAGAAAAATGTAACCAAAACAAACACATGATAAAAATTATGTCATGCTGAGAGAAAAGCCCCAGAGACACAAAAAGATAAAGGTCAGGGTCTGGTACAGAAGTCTTATTTGCAAGTAAAAATACCATGAAATGTGATTGTCAACAACCTAAAAGCGAGCCAGGCAGACTTCTGACAAATAATTCTGACAGTTCTCATGAGCTGAAAAATGCTTTTTTTACATCTCTTAGCTGTGGAAATGTTTCACTCCTGCTTCCAGATGTGCAGAGAGTTAAGAGAGGTGTAAAATAACAAGGTGCTGTTAAAAATAACCTGCCCCAAGCAGAGTCTTTTGTGCTCCTTGGGGATGGATTCCCTGTCAGGAGTCTGACTCCCTAACAAACCTTCCTGGATTTAAATACACAGAATGATTTGTTTCTCTTTTGTTAACATTTTTTCCCTCATCCATTATTAAGCAAATTAAGAAATGTTTCTTGTTGCTCTCACGTCTTGGGCAGAAATCCATTTGAGTGTAGAAGAGACTTTGGTGAAGGTAAGGAAGAAGAATTGAGTTGAATATCTTCCTTTCTGCAATTTATTTTTAAAAGAAAATATCTTAAAACATTAAATTTGAAAAAAAAAAAATTAAAATTGTCATTGTGCTGCAAAAATTCTTTGACCCTTTCTCCAAAAGGGCAAAGAGGCAAAAACACGTCCTGAGTTCCACAGGCTCCTGCAGTTTGGGGCTGGCACAGCTTTTCCTGAAGGTAACTCTATTTTCCAGTTCAAATAGGGCCACATTCCTGTTTGCTCACACAGAGCCTGTCCAGTGGGGAATGGTCTTGTCTGTCACAGTCATATTTTATGGAAAAATCCCTTTGTCCAGGATTTTCCCCCTGGGAAGCTGAGAAGCCTCAGAGAAAAAGGAAAACAATAATTATCTGATTGCTTCTCCTGTGTTTTGCTGCTTTGGAATGTGTTTGGAGATTGTTTACCCACAGGTGATTGTTTCATTGGTTTCATGTGAATTATTTTGATTTATTGGCCAATCAGTGCCAAGCTGTGTCAGGACTCTGGAGAGAGTCACCAGTTTTCATTATTATCTTTTTAAGCCTTCTGTCTGTATCCTTTCTGTATTCTTTAGTATAGTTTAATATTCTTTAATATAATATAGTGTCATAAAATAATCAATTAGCCTTCTGAGAATGCGGAGTCAAGTTCATCATTCCTCCCTTCACCTGGGCACCCCACAAATACAACACTCGTCCAGATCTCGTCCCACCCAGTGCACGTGAGGTGTGAAATGTGGCCATTTCAAATCCCAGCAGCGAGGTCACTGTGGGACCTGCTGAGAATGGACGACCAGGCAGCTCTCCCTCCTTCCCCACCGCTCCCATTTCTGTGTGCAGCTGGAGCTGGGCCATAAATTACCTTTACATTAGCACTGGAAACTCCAGGCCTTTAAAACCGGAATATTTCTCCTGCTCTGGGTTTCCTCTGGGGGCTGTAAAGGCGTGCAGAGTGTGTGTGTGTCCCAGGGAGTGGCTGAGATGGCAGAAATTTGGTGAAATGGAGTGTGGGGCACAGTGTGGTGTGGGAAAAGGGGGATCTGGGGGTTTGCTGCACCTCTGGGGCTGGTGGCTTTTATGGGGCTGGGGTGGCCAAGGAAGGACTGGCCGTGCTGGGGATCCATCACAGGCTGGGCACCATGGTCTGGAGGGGTTTTCCTGCCTCAGTGATGCTGTGTGGCTCCAAGAGGAGCTCGTGCTGCCCTGCTGGGTGCTCAGCAGAGGAGCTGCTCTGTTTGGGGGGTAGAACAAGCAGGGCAGGTCCTCAACAGCTCCAGCTGCAGGGGAGGCTCCTTCCCAACCCTCCTGGACCATTTTCAACCCTCCTAGACCCTTTCCCACCCTTCTGCCCCTTCTCAACCCTCCTGACCCCTTCCCTGTCCCTTCCCTGTCCTCCCTGAACCTTTCCCAACCTTCCTGTTTGCTGCACCTCTGGGGCTGGTGGCTTTTATGGGGCTGGGGTGGCCAAGGAAGGACTGGCCGTGCTGGGGATCCATCACAGGCTGGGCACCATGGTCTGGAGGGGTTTTCCTGCCTCAGTGATGCTGTGTGGCTCCAAGAGGAGCTCGTGCTGCCCTGCTCAGCAGAGGAGCTGCTCTGTTTGGGGGGTAGAACAAGCAGGGCAGGTCCTCAACAGCTCCAGCTGCAGGGGAGGCTCCTTCCCAACCCTCCTGGACCATTTTCAACCCTCCTGGACCCTTTTCCACCCTCCTGAACCCCTTCCCAACCCTCCTGGACCCTTTTCCACCCTCCTGATCCCCTTCCCAACCCTCCTGACCCGTTCCCTGCCCCTTTCCCAACCCTCCTGTCCCTTCCCAACCCTCCTGGACCCTTCCCAACCCTCCTGCACATCCTGTTCTGGGATCTGCACCCGGGTGTCCACTGGAGACTTTGAGAAGAACATTTGGAAGCCCCTGGAATCTCTCCAGGTGGTGCAGCTGCTCTCAGGGCACAGGGAACCCCTTGGATCTTGGAGTCTGGATAAAAATTTCCAAGTTCCTGAGCTGTGCTGGTAAAACCTCCAGGCTCTTCCAAGCTCCCATCCCTGCTGGGGAGTGGCTGTCACACGGGGTCTGTCTCAAAGGTTGTTTTTCCCCCCCAAAACCCTGGCACTGCCTTGCCAGTGGTGTCACAGCTGCACTCCTGTGCCCCCCGAGCCTCCCCTCTCCTTTCTTCTTGGCTTGGCTCCTGTTTGCCATCACAGCCACACCTGCTGCACTCAGCAGTGACAGAAATTCCTGGGGGAGTTCACTGGCAGCTCAAGCTGCTGTTTTGGGCAGAGAAAAAGGGGAAGTGGAACTCTGGCTTTTCCTGCGTCACTGAGTCCCCGTGGCAGCTGCACCTCCCTGTACCAACAGCAGTTTGCCCCCTCTTCATCCTGAACATTTCAAATGCTCCTGATTTTTCTTTCATGTTGTCCTGTGTGCAGGGCTTTACACTCAGGATGAGACAGCCTGCCATGCAAAATTGATGTTTTCACTTCTTGCCAGGGTTTCTAGCTCAAAAGGGTTTCCCCCTGGCAGTTCTATCTCCAGATATTACCAACACATCTTCTGAAGTTGTAAAAGCCCCTGTATATTTGATATCTTGTGGACTTTGACCAGGTTTCAAAGGGAGATTCTATTTGCTGGGCAGGTTGTCAGTAGAAGATAAAATATGAGTGAAATTGTAATTATATGGCAGCTACCATGGCTGTGTCACGAGCACTCTGTGCTCCACAGCCAGATGAAAAACCAGTCTCTAAAAACATTTGATTGGCCTTTTGTTTGTTTTTTTTTTCCCCCGCCTAGTTAAGCCAGGAAAAAATCCTCAAAATCATGAACATGGTGAAGAATAAAGAAGTGAGCATTGAAGGAGCTCTGCATCTGGCACAGAAGGAGGTGTATGCTGGGAAGGTGAGGCTGCTCCTTTGATGAGTTTGGTAACAAGCTCAGATGTTCTGGAGAGCCCTGCTGAGCTGAGAGGGTGTCTGGTTGCTCTCCAGGATACAATCCTGGTCTGGGAATCACAAAGAGCCCAATTGCCAGCCCAACACTGGCTGGTGCTGCCCGTGCCCTGTGTGATGCTGCTCCATGGAAAGGCTGGCATTGCCTGGGTTGGGGAGCTCAAACCCACACAAGGGGTGTTATTCCAAGGGTAGCAACGAGTCCTGCATTGATAAATGTGGGGCAGAATCCCAGAACTGCAGAATCACAGACTGGTTTGGGTTGGAAGGGACCTTGAAGCTCATCCTGTGCCACCTCCCTGCACCTCCCACTGTCCCAAGCCCTGGCCAGCCTGGCCTGGAACATTTCCAGGGGCAGCCCCAGCTGCTCTGGGCACCTGTGCCAGGGCCTGCCCACCCTCACAAGGAAGAATTTCATCCCAATATCCCATCTAACCCTCCTCAATTTCAGTGTGAAGCCATTCCCTGTGTGCTGTCCCTCCTGTAAATCCCATTCCCTGTGTGCTGTCCCTCCATCCCCTGTAAATCCCCTCTCTCCATCTTCCCTGCAGCTCCTGCAAGGCTCCTCTTCTCCAGGGCCTCACCACCCTCAGGGTAAAGAATTTCTTCCTCATAGTCAATCCAAACTCCCTCTCTGTCAATGTGGAGTCATTCCCTGTGTCCTGTCCCTGCCCTTGGGGATAATCTCTCTCCCCACCTTCATTAAGGTGATTAACAAAAACCAGGAGGATTTTTCCATCTGTCTCCACGCAGAATTCTCCTGCAGGGCTCCTGTGTTGTTTCTGCTCACAGAGAGAGATTTCACCTGAGCACAGCAGGGTTTGGGTGGCCCAAGGTTATCCCAGCGTGGGATGTGTTCCTGATGTCTGTTCTGCTTTCCAGGATGCCCAGGATTTGTTAACTGGCTCCCAATTTAACTTCATTATCTACAAATACAAACACTACCGGTGGCAGAAACGGATCCTGCAGGTACCCTTAACAATTCTCACTTTTGGTGCAGTGTATAAAATATAATAAAGCCAGCTTCTGTCAACATCACCTGATGGTGATTTCCTGTTTCATGAAGTCAGGGACTAAGGTTTCATGTTTTTTTCCTGGATTTCACTAAAACTTTTTTCAGTTTGGACAACATTTGATAAGGAACAACCCAAATAATGCATACGACAGGGTGGATTTTATTTACTACATCTTAACTGTACAAAATATAACTTTTCCAGCATTATCCACCATTTTTTTGGAATGAAAAGGTTATTTCTTTAGACATAAAGAGGAAAAATGGAGAGACGTGTAGTAGATGTGGAAGTTACCAGTCTGGGAAGCTGGATTAGCTTAATTTCAGTTCCCTAATTACCAGCAGCCTTCAAAAGTCAGAGATAATCTTGAGAAAGGTTCTGCTTTGGAGGTTTCCTGCTATAAACAGGACCGAGGAAAAGGCCACAGTGTGGGCATTTGGTGGTGTGGTCTGAGCAAGTTTTAACTTCTAACTTAGAACTGCTTTTCTGACCCCCTGCATTTCAGAGAGCGAAGGAGTGAGGAACTGGATGAGTGGTTCTGCTGTTAGCTTTTGCTGAAGGGGAAGTTTCTGCACTGGGTTTTGTGAGACAAGGAGAATTTAAAAAGAAATTACATTCCAGAGTGATAAATTGATGGATATTCATCAAAAGAGACGTGTGGAAACACAGCTTACAAGGAATATCTGGGGGGGGTTTTGTCACTAACACAAATATTGGGCATTTTGTCACTAAAACAAATGTGACATTCTTGATGGTGGGATGTAATTATAAATTATATTTATTCTGCTCTTTTATCTAAACACCTTCACGTGGCAAAATTGGGATTCTGCCTTTGCCTTTCTACAAAGATTTAGTTGGTTTTTTTTAACATCACTTGCCTGGAGTGCTGCAGAACTTTCTCTTGCAGCTTGATTTCAGCACCAGGACCATTTTCAACATCGAGAAGGGCACAATCAGGAAGCAGTTCCCCTTCTCCCAAGTGAAAGGCTGCGAGGACTCGGAGAGGAGGCGTTTCAGCATCCTGTTCCACGGGAGGCAGCACTACGAGCTGGAGGCGGTGTCCCTGGATGACAAAAGGAAGGTGAGCTGGGAAGGCACTGCAGTGAATCCCAGCCGGGATGGAGGCTCCAGCAGGTGCAGGCAGCTGTGGCTGCATTTCCCTCCACAGGGAAAAGCAAGGCTCAGCTTCCCAGGGGTATTTTCTGGGAATCACAGCAAGGAACCTCAGAGAAAGAAAAAACCAATTTTTATCTCATTGTTTGTGCCAAAGTAGAATGGAATATGGAGGTTGTTTACCCAGAGTGATGGGTTTTGTTTCTTTGACCCAATCTCTGCAAGCTGTGTCCTATGGGTCAGGAGACAGCCACAAGGTTCTGAGCACGGGACCTGAGTGCTTGTGCAGATCCAGTTTAGATGTAGTGTAAGATAATATAGAATAATATATTAATATAATATAACGTAATACAATATAATCTAATCTATTATAATATAATATAATATAATATATCTATAATTAATATAATATAATATATCTATAATTAATATAATATAATATATCTATAATTAATATAATATAATATATCTATAATTAATATAATATAATATATCTATAATTAATATAATATAACATGACATGACATAACATAATATCTATAATTAATATAATATAATGTAATATAATATTGTATTACATTATATCACATTATATTACATTATATTGCATTATATATAATATAATATAATACTATTATAGTGCTATAATACCATAATAAAATTCTATAAGAATTCTTTATTATAATCCAATAAAGTAATTAATTAGCCTTCTGATATCAATGGAGTCCTCCTCATCATTTCCCCCTGCCATGGGGGTTGTTTGAGTCCTACAGGCAGGGGAGGAGGGATGGATTTGTTCTGCTGGGACATGGAACAAAGGCAGTGTGAGCTCGGGGTGGAGTCTGGCCTCAGATTTTGGCACAGTTCAGAGGAGCTGTAAAGGCAGCTCGAGGTGAGATGGGAGAGTGGGGCAGCTCTGCAGCCACAGCATGGCTGGAGCTGCTCTGGATGTTAAAACAAGCAAACAAAGCTGGTGATGCGCACTGCTGAATCCTAATTGGAGCTTTCCAAGCACTTTTTGTTCCCTCTATAAGATATTTCATAAAGTGCCCCATTTTAAGGATGAATTAGGATTGTCCTCATGCTGAGAAAAGAGCCAGTGGTTCATCTTTGAGCTTTGTCTGAGAATTTCAGCTGAATCAATCAAGTGCTGCTTGGGCTTGAACTGAGCTGAACAGAAACTTTGTGCTGGACTGCTTTGTACATGAATTAAAAAGTTCTGGTTTACAGTAACCCCTTCAGAGTAAAATTATATCTTCCTTAGACTGACAGGTTTAGGATTGTGGGAATAAAACCAAATTGCAGTTAAGGAGTTTTGCATCATAGAAAGACCTGAGTTTTTTTATGTGGATTTCTTTTACCCATTTGACTGTGGCTCTGTACTTGTAAAATCCAACTATTGATGTCTTATTCAAGGGAATTTATGTGGAAAATAGTTTTCTCTCTGCTGCCACTTATTATCTAGATAATCTACCTGCTGAGCAGAGTTATTCAGAGCAATTCTTGCAAGAGACCAGCAGAGTCCTGCCCTGGGAGAGCTGCAGGATGTGATGTGATCCACGAAGGGCTGCTGGACCTGCAGCAGAACACCTTAACCTCCTCTGAATGGGTGAAGTATGAGCTCTGGATTTTGTTAAAACTTCTGATAGATGCGTTTAGATTTGAATGTGCTGGTAATAACTTTATTATTTAGTTGGTTTTTAAAGTGTAAAGGTAGATGCCCAGTCTGCACGAGATGGAAGCACAGCAATCAGCTGTCAGGGCACCCAAAAAACCAAAGTTGTGACCTGGAGCCTGCTGGGAGCATTGGCAGCACAAATCTCTAATGGTGATGGTGCTCAGAACCAATTTGATGCTGGGACTTTGTTTCTCTCATGACTTTTTCCTTCCATTTTCAGTAACCCAGTGGTTTTCTTCCATGGTTTGCTCCCCATTCTGCCAACAAACCTGAGACAGCTCCTAAAACACCTGGAAATTTCTTAAACCATCAAAGGAAAGAAATAGAGAGGAAAGAACTTCTGTCTAGCTAATGAAAAAAATTCACATTGTAATTATCTGCACTGGACTCCCCATTCTGCCAACAAACCTGAGACAGCTCCTAAAACACCTGGAAATTTCTTAAAGAAAAAAAATTTCTGTCTAGCTAATGAAAAAAAAAATCACATTGTAATTATCTGCGCAGGGTAATTATCTCAAAAGACTTCACACTTCACAGAAAATGATTTTAATTGGTTTTAAAGGGCTGCCACTGTATGTGCTGTAAACACTATCCTCAAGTGTGTCCAGGATTTGTTACCTTGCAACACTGAACAGGTTTGTGAACAAACACAAATTGATTTCTGTTTATCTGGTGAAGCAAAGCCCTTGTTGTGTTCTTCTCGATATTAATCCTCTCTTTTCCTCCTTTTTTTTTTTTTTTTTTTTTTTCCTGGCAAAGTAAGTGATGGTGGCAGCATCTGGAGATCCGATTAAACCATAAGTCCCTGCTGGAAGAAAGCAGAGATCAATAGCACTGCCAGCCCCATTAAACAACTCTTATCACTTTGACTGCTTGTATGGGAATTGATGCAATTTTTATTTTATGTTTAATTTGTTCTGGAGCAGCTAAACTTACTTAAATTCTTCGCAGAACGCTTTAATCAACCAGCCACACCTTGAAGAGAGAGTGAAGGGAGAGTTTTGTAGAAGTGCCAGAATGAAAAAGAAAGGCAGAAACCCTCCAGAAAAAGGAGCAGGCAAAATGTTAAATAAGAATAAACCCACAGCAAAGCCCAACCCCTTGTTATAAAGAGCAGGGCAGAATTCCAGAGGAGAGGCCAAAGCACAGGACTCTGCTGCAGGGGAAGCTCTGCATGCTCAGGCCATTTCTTCCAGGGTTAATTATAATTTAAAGAGCTTTTCCCCAAATTTTGGCACAGTCAGATCTGCTGGAAGCCCTCAAGAGCAGAATACTTTAACCCTTTCCTGCCTAGTGACTCCTGGGAATGATGGGTCCAGGATGGGTTGCCACGGAGTAACAGGAGCTCCAGGAGAGGGATATTGGGCTGGATGGTGGGGAACTAAATTTGGGGATTTGTTTATAGCTCGGTGGAGTGAAACCTGGAAGACACAGAAACTCTGGAGCCTTATGCACTGCTGGAATCCACAGGTGGAGTCCTTTAGAAGCTCAGAGTCCCAAAGATCCACTACCCCAAATAAACAGGAGGAGCAAATGGAGAGGGAGGGACAGAGCATGGCTGAAAAATTAGCAGGACTTGGGTGATTTTGAATTGATGATCAGATTTAATTTTAGCTCTCACTGGGCATGGCAGGCTGCTCAGATTTTATGTCACACTTTATTTAGGTGTCAGATGAAAACAAGAATCTCTCAAATAAGAACTCAAAGAGTTTATTCTCTGCTATTGATATTTTTGACTGTTCCATGGAGGATGCTGTAACAATGGGGAGGTTTATTGACATTGTGGGTGCTTTAGCAAGGGCCAGGCTGTGTAAGAAGCCATCAGTGAGGAATGAGCTGTGTGTCCATCCCTTGTCCCCCAGGTGCCTGGCAGAGCTGCGGGAAGGAGAACTGGCCTTGTACTGCCTGGGGCTGGGGGGCAGGAGCCCTGCAGCCACAATTCCCCTGGCAGCTGTGAGCCTGGGGGAGGGCAGGGACAGTGCCTGCAGCACCTTCTCCCTGCACACCAGAGACCACCACTACCTGTGAGTACAGCTGCTGCTTAGTGACCTGCTGCAGCAGAGCTGTGGCTGCATTGCCCTCCACAGGGAAAAGCAAGGCTCAGCTTCCCAGGGATATTTTCTGGGAATTGCAGTGAGGAGCTTCAGAGAAAGAAAAAACAATTTTTATTTCACTTGCTGTGCCTGTGTTTGTTCAGAAGTAGAATGGGATATGGAGATTGTTTACCCAGAGTGATGGGGTTTTGTTTCTTTGACCAACCTCTGCAAGCTGTGTCCTGTTGGTCAGGACACAGCCACGAGTTCTGGTTGAGTTCTTGTGTAGACTCAGTTTAGATGTAGTGTTATATAATACAGAATAATATAGTATAATAAAGTAATTAATTAGCCGTCTGATATCGATGGAGTCCTCCTTGTCATTTCTCCTGCTGTGGGGCTGCCTTGAATCCCATAAGCAAGGGCCAGGCTGTGTAGAAGCCATCAGTGAGGAATGAGCTGTGTGTCCATCCCTTGTCCCCCAGGTGCCTGGCAGAGCTGCGGGAAGGAGAACTGGCCTTGTACTGCCTGGGGCTGGGGGGCAGGAGCCCTGCAGCCACAATTCCCCTGGCAGCTGTGAGCCTGGGGGAGGGCAGGGACAGTGCCTGCAGCACCTTCTCCCTGCACACCAGAGACCACCACTACCTGTGAGTACAGCTGCTGCTTAGTGACCTGCTGCAGCAGAGCTGTGGCTGCATTGCCCTCCACAGGGAAAAGCAAGGCTCAGCTTCCCAGGGATATTTTCTGGGAATTGCAGTGAGGAGCTTCAGAGAAAGGAAAAAACAATTTTTATTTCATTTGCTGTGCCTGTGTTTGTGCAGAAGTAGAATGGGATATGGAGATTGTTTACCCAGAGTGATGGGGTTTTGTTTCTTTGACCAACCTCTGCAAGCTGTGTCCTGTTGGTCAGGACACAGCCACGAGTTCTGGTTGAGTTCTTGTGTAGACTCAGTTTAGATGTAGTGTTATATAATACAGAATAATATAGTATAATAAAGTAATTAATTAGCCGTCTGATATCGATGGAGTCCTCCTTGTCATTTCTCCTGCTGTGGGGTTGCCTTGAATCCCATACAGAGGTGTCTTGTCCTCATCAGTGAGAGCTTTGGTATATCCTTATTATAATGGGCATTACGCAGATCAAAAGTTAATTTGATCCTGAGAATTCTGATTAATCTTCCTGCAAGTGCTGCAAACCACAGTTCTTAAATTAATGAATAAAAAGATGAAGCTCCAAAATGCCAGTAGGTTCCAAATTCTGAGAGAGATTTTGAGTGGAACACCAGAGGAAAATGAGAGTTCTGAGAGATCTCCACACTAAATTCAAGGCCAGTATGGGAGAAAATACAAATAAAAGCAAAGTTCTCTAATGGATTCTTGTTGAAAAATGAAATTCCTGCCACACAGGGAGCAGGTATCAGGAAGAGACAAGAAAATCATCCTCAGATTTGTTTTTCCTTGATGACTGCTCTGTAAATTTAAAGAAAATATGAAGACTGAGATTTTGCCTTATGGAAGCAGCTGCTAAATATTTTATATATTTTATATTCTTTTTTAATTCTGCTAAGCATAGATGAGATACTTTGGTGGTTTCCCTTCCCTTGAGCATTTCCTTCCAAGTAACCCAGAATCCTTTTTCTCCAGACATTTTTCTTAAAAGTTTCCGTATAAAACCGAGTGAGCTGAAGGACAAACTCTTCATCATCCACGAGGAGAGTGGTGGGCTCACAGATGAGCAGATTACAGCGCTGAGAAGGTAATTTTGGGGGGAATTGCTGTGTTTTATTAGTCAATAACTGCTCAAAAAGTCATGTAACTAAGGGTCTAGTGACCTTCTGAACCATGCTGTAACGATGTGAGCTGAACTCACCCTTCCTACCTGCGTAGAAAATAAGAAAAATAAACTGAAAAATCATCAAAACTCAACTCAAAAATCCCTTCTCAAATTCCTTCCAAAATTCCCCACAAGTGAATTCTCACACTCAGGATTCAGTCCTGGCACTGCAGCCTCAGTCCAGGATCTCCGTGCTGCTGAAATTGCTGTGGCACCACTGATTTATGGCCTCTGGGCTCTTTGCCATCAGACAATAATAATAATAATGATGGCAATGAAGCTTGAAATATCATATTTTTTTTCCTTGAAGTCTTTCTTTGATGGCAATAATGCTGAGGGAATATTCCCAGCAGTGGAATGTGTAAGGGGTATTGATTGTTGTATTGCTCTGTGCTGTATAATTTCAAGGATTCTAGCCGTGCTATCTGGCTTCAAGGATTCTGTCCCTGGGATTGTTATTTACTGCCAAAATCGATGAATCCATGTGCAAATCTTGCACTGAGAGGAAACTGAATTTTTGTTTCCACCCCAAGAGTTTTGAGTGTAACTGAAACAGTCGAAATTCATCTCAAAATGAAGGCTTGAGTGGTGTTTGTGAGGGTCCCAGGACGAGGGAAGAGATAAATCTGACTCCATGTTCTCAGAAGGCTGATTTATTATCATATTATATTATATTATATTATATTATATTATATTATATTAATTACATTAATGCTATACTAAAACTATACTAAACTATAGAGAAAGGATACATCAGAAGGCTTAACAAGAATGAATAATAAAAACTCGTCACTGACCAGAGCAGGAATTGTTTTGTGTCCCTGCTTTGTGCAGAGCTCACCATCCCCTGATGTGGACCCAGACCCACACACTAAAGCAGCACAGAACCTGAAAAAAATAAAAGCTAAAACCCAAGGCATCAGGAGAGAGAAAATTACTTAAAGATGTCAAAATTCTGCTATTGGAGAGTGAAAAATACTTAAAGTCAAAGCCAAAATTCCATTTTCAAGGCAGAGTGTCCTGCTCATGCATCCAGTGGAAGTGGTGGGATATCATTGGGAAATTCCAGAATAAATTTGATACAGAAACCTCTCCATCTCTGGATGATTCTTTATCCTCATGTCTTACCAGCAAAGCACTCCATGCCTCTCTAAACTTAATTTTTTTTTCAGAGGAATAGGAATCTTTTTCATTGTGCAAATTCCATTAGAGCTGCATTCATGTACAGAGATATTTATGGAATGCATTCACGTGGTTTTGTGCCTCCTTTCTCATGGCTCCCATTGTTTAATGCTTTAAGCTTTAAACCTTCCAGATAATCTGTTATTTCCATTTTCTATGCATAATGCAGCTAAAGAATTTTATGGGGTATCAGACTCTTGATTAAATGAAGATGTTTGCTGTCACCTTTTGAAATACGTTCTATGAATTTGCTTAAAAGCTCAAACTATTTTTAATGATGAGTAAACACCCTTTCATTTGCCAACAGCTAACTTATTTTTAAATGAAAATTCATTTTTTTTCTTAATGGTAAAGTGGGCTGAAAGGATTACATTTTCATCTGCTACAATCCAGAGTTAATTCAAACCCCAGCAATTTTACAATTGAAATGTCATATTAATTATTGACAACAGCAAAATAAGTCTTAGTGCTTGTCCTGTGCTTAACGTGCTAAAATATTTGCTTTTTTCCATGTTTGAGTCAATTCCCTGACTTTTACTGGAAATGCATAGCTCTGCCCATGAATGTTTAATCACTCTTGCTGCAAATTTAGAAGTTTGTTTTAAGAGAAAGTAAAGAGAGCAGACCTGAATACTTATTTCAGCTTCTTTACTCTGCTCACATGTGAGCTGTGACACGGATTCAGCTTTTCTGAAGAAATGCTGTGAATTCCCCCAGTGTGGCTCAGACAGGCAGCAAGATCTCCAAAGGAAGGCAGCTGTGCTGCTGTGTTTGTTTTTCCAAGTGGAGGCATGTTTGAAAACATCAATCTTCTGAAAATCTGTGGCCCTGGAGGATATTCTGCGGCCTTGGGAGGAGGATGTGGGTCTGTGTTTTGTGCTGTCACTGTTTCAGCAAGTAAAAAAATCTGTAAAAATCAAGATAAAGAAGAGAAACCCTCCCAGGCTGGGGTTGTGGGGTGTCTGAGCCAGGAGGGACAGGATGATCCTTGTGGTCCCTTCCACCCCAGGATATTCTGTGATTCTGTGATAACAGAAATTATTCTTGTGGGTTCCTTCCAGCCCAGGATATTCTGTGATTATGAGATAACAAAGATGATTCTTGTGGGTTCCTTCCAGCCCAGGATATTCTGTGATTACAAAGATGATCCTTGTGGGTTCCTTCCAGCCCAGGATATTCTGTGATTCTTTCTGAGATAAGAAAGGATCCAGCCTCTTTGGAAATCAGGGCCTGAGCTCCTCTGCCTCATGGTTTCAGCTTTTCTAAAATATTCTGTCATTCTAAATCCCCTGAATGTCTGCAGGTGGACATTCTGGCTGTTTTCAAGCCTTATCTACATGGAATCATCTCCACATATCCAGAGGTGTCTGCAGATCACTCTTGCTTCCCATCTCCCAGTTGGTTCAAATGCCTCCAAAGGATAAGCAGTAAATATGAACCACACAAACCACACAAAATGCAGGAAATTCCAGGGCAAGGAATGGCAGAATTATTTTATCAGAATGAAGAGGAGCCCTAATTTTAATTTTCTCTTTACAGATATTTGCCCACACCCAAAGATGCAGAAAGGTACCTGTCCTTCAAGGGGCCTTGCTCAGAGCTGCACGTGGTTGACCAGTTTATGTTAGAGGTGAGGAGTTTCAATGCTAAAAGACACCACATCCTATTTTTAGGACATTCTCCAAGCTAAAACCACTGCAAGAAGCTGTTGTTTAGAACTCAGATTTACAGTCTCACCCAGAGTCAGAATGAAAGGATTGTTCTGATGAAGACTTGGGCCAGGTAGATGACAAAAAGAGAACAATGGATCCCTTTGTGTCTCCAAGTCACACTCCCTCCTCTTCCTACAGAGCATTTATCCTGATCTAAATCTAGATTCCCAAAATCTAGAAGCCATAATCTATAAAATTATAGATTTTTAACCATTTTTGCTCACAAGAAACGACTGCACTTGATTTCAATCATGTCTGCCCAGCAGCATACAGGGAATCTGCAGGCATGTCCCAGAGTGTATCCACAGGGTCAAGGGCAAGAGCAAAATGAATAAATGAGCACAGAAATTAGGCAAACAGCTGAATTGCTCAGTCAATAATGAAAGGAATATGCATGTTTTGGTATAAATGTGAGTTTTTTATTCCTGTTCTGCTCCATTCTGTGCAGATGTGTAAAATCCCCCAGCTGGGCCAGAGGCTGGATCTGCTGCTCAGCGTCCGTGAGCTCCCCGAGAGCATCAGAGACCTGGAGCCCGTGAGTACTGGAGCCCTCCTGCTGTGCCTGTCATCCTGACAGCTTGATAACAGAGGCCCAAATCACAGATTTCAAGGCTGTGTAGTTTGGGAGGATTATTTTGTTGTTTGTTTTTGTTTTTTTTTTCCCCCACTTGTGTGATTGATATTGTCCTTATTCCACCAAGGTTCAGGGTAATGGGTGTGGCAGCAGAACAGACTTCCACAAGAGAGAGAGAAAAGAACAGGAAAAGATCTTCAAAATTTTACTGGAGATATTAAACATTCCTCCTTTGGATGAGACAGAAGTGAATTTCACCATTAAAATTCAATTCCCTTTGTGGGGAGGTTCTGGCCTCTGAAAGAAACAGTCTAAGGCAAGGAGGAAGTTTATTTGACAAATCTCCAAGAAATTTATTATTTCCTGAAGACTGAAGGAGCTGTTCCCCCTAAGGATGACAGCTCTGGACTGGAATTTTTGGGAGCCAGGGCTCAAGTCTTCTCTGCCTTTTCCCAGGGTGACTAAGGCTGGGGGGATGCAAACAAACAAGTGCCACTCTCGTGACTGGACCCTGCCTTACCTGCCAGGTTTTGTCCATGCTTTGATGCAAAACAAGCATTTCCACACCACAAAAATGCTTCAGAGGTTTTGCCCTCGTTCTGCGCGGGAATGAAAATAAAATGTGAAAGTTCTGTGAGTTATCCTTTGCCTGGCTGTGATTAAAAGCACAGTAGCAGAGAGGGAAGCTCAGAAGAGGAGCAGATGGGAAGCACAGGGGAGATTCAGACATTCCTGACCCTGCCTGGTGCAGCTGCACCTCTGCTGTCCTCCACTAAAGCCAAATATTGAATATTTGTAAATTATTCCACGCACTGTTTGCTTTGATGGATATTTAATGTTCACTGAAGAGCTAATTAGTGTCTAAGTGTGTTCTTATACATGCTAGCACGTATTTTAAACCACAAAATATACACCTAAAATCCTAAGGGACAATGTCAATTTTGGCTTTCAGCACACTCTGGCCCTGAGCTGGGCTATAAATGCTTTAACAACAGCTTTCAGTGCACCCATGTGCTTCATCCTCTCCCTGTTTTTAAATTTCTGTGTTGGTGAAAAGAGGTGTGGTACTAAAAAAATACAGATTTTTAAACTGAAAACAAAATCCCCTCCTGTGCCTATAGGCCTAGAAGGGAGGTGGCTTCCCTGGGAAAACTGAATTATACTGAGTTTGAGTACAGGAAATTATTATTCTTCCTTGTGGGGAAACTGTGCTAAGAATTTTGATAAGAGCATTGAGCTGGTGTAAATGAAGGGAGGGAGGTGAAGGATGGAGCTCCAGACCCTGCTTCCCCTGATCCCTGGAATTTGGGCACCCAAACAGCAAAAGCCTTTTTGTGCACAGGAGCTGCAGTTGTTTTGGCAGCCACAAAGGATGTGACTCCTTTTGGGGTGGCTGTGCCAGCACAGCTTTGTCTGGGGGAGTTTGGCCCTGCTGAAAATCCCTGAGGGATTTTGGCACTCCAGGGCACGAAACAGAAAGACGTGGCCAATGGGTTTAATAAGGTGAAAAAGAGGGAAGTCTAGTTCTGACTCCAACATTTGTAGATTTCCAAAGGTGACAGTGATTGGAGGGTGGCAGTGCCACCTCTCCAATGGCACTGCACAAACCAAGAGCCCATCAGATTTCTCCTCTTCCAGAAAAGAATGCAAACCAATTATTTATATAAAGTCTGTGAGAAAGTTTGTTACAAGAATATCAACATCAGAAGGCTTAGAAGAACTCAAAGGAACAGGGTGACAGGATTGGGACAGGGAGGGGCTTCAGGTGGGGACAGAGAGGGGTGGCAGAGAGGGCACAGACACCACGGGTTTATCCCCATTTTCAGTCTGTCTGAGGAAGGTCTGTCGATGTGGTTGTGGGTCCCAGGACAAGGGAAAAGATGAATCTGACTCCATGTTCTCAGAAGGCTGATTGTTATATTATATTATATTATATGGGTCCCAGGACAAGGGAAAAGATGAATCTGACTCCATGTTCTCAGAAGGCTGATTGTTATATTACATTACATTACATTACATTACATTACATTACATTACATTACATTACATTACATTACATTACATTACATTACATTACATTATATTATATTATATTATAATTATATTATATTATAATTATATTATATTATATTGCTATACTAAAGTATAGAGAGAAAGGAATACATCAGAAGGTGAGGAGAGGAAAGGAAAAAAGGAATGAATAATAAAAACCCATGACAGACTCAGAGAATCCAACACAGCTGGCTGTGATTGGTCATTAAGCAAAAACAATTCACATGGAACAATCAAAGATCACCTGTTGGTAAACAACCTCCAGACCTCATATCCAAACAAATAGTCATTGTTTACATTTATTTTCTGAGAATTTTTCTCAGCTTCTCAGGAGAAAAATCCTGGCCAAGGTATTTTCAGACAATATTGTGGTGACAAAGGTCTGTGTGTTCCAGCTGATCATCCAGAACATCCAAGCCAGCAAGCAGCTGCAGTCCAGCCCCAAGTTTGTTGCTGTCTTGGAGTACATCTTAGCCATGGGGAACCACCTGAATGAAAAAGCTGGGAAAGAGGTGGCCAAAGGATTCCGACTGTCATCTCTGGCCAAAGTGAGTGAATATCTTCTTCTGATTAAAGTCATCCTGTTCTAAGGTTTGCTAGCATTAGTATCCTAATATTGTTAGCACATTAATGCCATAAAATAATAAATTTAATTCTTTTCAGTGCAGAGAGAGGCAATAACTCCTAATGAGGAGCTCAGATTTTACCACCTGCCCTGGGTTAGAGGAGAATGAACTGCTCTGAGCACTGAATCCTCTCGTGCCTGGGATCACAAGCTGTGCTCCCCATGCAGGCAGCAGCTCTGGCTCTGTGCTGCTGCATGTGCCTCTAACGAGCCAGAATATCAAAATGCTGCCTGCCCTGGTATTAAAATCCCTTGGCATGAGGAACTGTGTGAGCTGCAGGCCCTGCTTAGACAGCAGGTGTGAGCCAGGAACGTGTGTGAAGCAGCAGCATGAAAAGCAGAGCTTGGATTCTGTTGTTTTCTATTCTTGCCAAACATACCTGAGTGTGGTCCCCACATGATGGTGAGGAAAGGAAGGAATCTGACTCCATGTTCTTAGAAAAATTATATTATATTATATTATATTATATTATATATTATATATATTATATGGTATTATAAAATATTATACTAAAACTATAGTAAAGAATAGAGAAAAGATACAGACAGAAAGCTAAAGGATAACAATCAAAACTCGTGATTCTCTGCTCCACAGCCTCGACACAGCCTGGCAGTGATTGGTCAATAAGTAAAAACAATTCACCTGTGGGTAAACAATCTCCAAACCACATTTTAAAGCAGCAAAACACAGCAGAAGCACATCAGATAATATTGTTTTCCTTTTTCTCTGAGGAAAGAGGAGAGATTTCTCTCAGCTTCCCAGGAGAGAAATCCTGGCGAAGGGATTTTTCCAGAAAATATCACAGTGACTCCTGGGTTCTATCAGCATCTCTGCTGTTCCTTTTTCGTGTTTTCTTTCTTTTTGAGGGCTGATAGCTGAGGGTGTTTTTGCCCTGCTCTGTTGCAGCTCTCTCTGCTGAGGGGCAGGGACAGGACGTTCACCCTTCTGCACGCTCTGGTGGAACAGATCCTCCTGCACCAGCCCGAGCTGGCCACCTTTCCTCAGGAGCTGACAGAGTTTGAGGCTGTTCCTGATGGTGAGAGGAGGGAAGGGGGGAAAATAATCAACAAATAAAAAAATAAGTCCTTCACCTTCTGTGCTTCTCACTGTATAAATGATATTATCATTATAAATGTCATCATCATGATTTTCCCCTCTTCTGTTCCAGCGTCCATGAAGGGCCTCAGTGCTGAAGTTGATGGTATGTAAATGTAAAATGTAAAATTCTACATTCACAGGCAGATTTTCAGGCACTGTGCAGTCATTTGGAACAGGTTTTCACTGCCCCTCTGTAGTTTGTAAAGAGAGTTAAAGGTTCAGAACATTGAGGTGAAGTGTTGCCATGGAGATGCTTAACCTGCCATGCTACTGTGAGGAATTAAAAAAAGAAAAGGAATATTGAAGTGTGTCCAGGTGGTTTAGAAATGTAAAAAAAATGTACTGGCCATGGTAAATAGAGTTTGTCATAAAATACAAAAGTTAAGGGGTACAAGTGCTCCATCACAGTGATGGCTGGGAGGGACTCTGGGAGTGCAGCAGGAGAAACTTCCTGCAGTTCAAGAACTTTCTGGAAACAAACTGGTTTCCTTCTCTGAAAAGGACTCCAGCACCAGTGAAATCAACAGGAGGGGCAGAACAAGGTTGTTGAGATGGAAGATGGAGTTTCCTTCTCTGAAAAGGACTCCAGCACCAGTGAAATCAACAGGAGGGGCAGAACAAGGCTGTTGAGATGGAAGATGGATTTTGTAGGATGGTTTTTGTAGGATGGATTTTGTGAGATGGATTTTGTAGGATGGATTTTGTAGGATGGTTTTTGTAGGATGGATTTTGTAGGATGGATTTTGTAGGATGGATTTTGTAGGATGGATTTTGTAGGATGGATTTCCAGCTCTCCCTGGAACAGCCCCATGACCTGTGAGCTCAGTGGGTTCAGCAGGGCAGCCAGGTGGGATTGCCTGGGCTCTTCCCTCCGTGGGTTCCTGCTGTGCCAGGGCAGTCCCAGCAGGGCACAGAGGGAGGACATGCACCCAAATCCTGGGAAGCAGCTTCTGCCAGCTGCAGGCACAGCCTGCAGGAGCTGCAGGAGCTGCCCAGCACTGGCTGGGAGATGCCAGAGGAGCCCAGAGCCCAGGCTGTGCCCTCTGTCCCAGCTGACAAGAATTCTTACTGATCTCTTACTGTTCCACAGAGGATCTTTATTCTTTTATTTTTAAAAGAACCCAGAATTTCCTACACAAAAAGTGGCTTTTCAGGGTGTTATTTCCGTGGCTGATCCCAGTGCTCAGCCTAGGGATTGTCAGGTTTATGGCTGCAGCATTACCACACTCTCGACCTCTGCATTATCCTGCACTTTCAGGGATGTGATCACATTTTTTCCCTGAGGCAATGCCTCCTTCAGGAGCTCTACCTCCCACCAGGAACTCAATACTCCTAGATAAATGTATTGCAGACCCACATTCTCTTTTATTTTCCTTGTGCCCTAAATGAGACAACTGCAGCCCTTTGGACAGCTCTTCATGCTGGTGAAATCCCTCATTTTCTGTTCTTTTTGTTAGTTTTAAAAAAAGAACTGGAGAACCTTGTCCAGTGCAGGAGGCTCCTCAAACCCAAAGCAAGCAAGGCAACACCCCAGGAGTCCCAGTTCTGCAAGGAACTGAAGGTAAATGAAGCACAACCTCCCTGAGGGCTGGAGTAAGGGAGGAGTAACCTGGGAGTTTGTGCTGACACCTGGGAATAAGGAGAATTTGAGGGAAAGTGCCTTTTTATTCCCTTCTGAGGGTGCCTCATGTTGTAATTTGCAGTGTGGGAAGGGTTTTCAGGGTTTCTGCACCTCCTGTTTTCCCTTCCCAGGCAAGGATGAGGAGCAGGCAGCCCTTGGGAAGCACTTTGGGATAACAGGAATTTTAGAGTGAATTTTTAAGAATTTCTTCTGCCCTCAGACATTGTGCTGACACCTGGGAATAAGGAGAATTTGAGGGAAAGTGCCTTTTTATTCCCTTCTGAGGGTGCCTCATGTTGTAATTTGCAGTGTGGGAAGGGTTTTCAGGGTTTCTGCACCTCCTGTTTTCCCTTCCCAGGCAAGGATGAGGAGCAGGCAGCCCTTGAGAAGCACTAACAGCAATTTTAGAGTTTTTAAGAATTTCTTCTGCCCTCAGACAGAAGAGGGTTTAGAGAGGATCAAAGAATCATGGAATGGTTTGGAAGGGACCTTAAAATTGTCTTTAGGATCGTGCCCTGGACCACAGGATCATACAATCCTGATTATCCATCAATCATTTCCAATCCTTCAGGTTGGAAAAGCCCTTGAGGAGCACTGAATGCAAAGCCAGCAGAGCTGACCCCTGTCCCCAAATTCTACCTCCCCTTCCCCTGAGCCTTGCAGGGCTGGGGGCTCCACCTGTGCCCCGGGCAGCTGTGCCAGGGCTGGGAATCCTTTTGGATGGGAAATTCATCCTGGAATGCCTCCCAAGCCTGCCCTGCAGGGCTGCTGGCAGCTCAGTGTCCCCTCTCTGAGTGGTCCTGAAATCCCACACAAACCTGCCCTGGGCAGCTGTGCCAGGGCTGGGAATCCTTTTGGATGGGAAATTCATCCTGAAATCCCACCCAAACCTGCCCTGGGCAGCTGTGCCAGGGCTGGGAATCCTTTTGGATGGGAAATTCATCCTGAAATCCCACACAAACCTGCCCTGGGCAGCTGTGCCAGGGCTGGGAATCCTTCTGGATGGGAAATTCATCCCGGAATCCCTCCCAAGCCTGCCCTGGAGGGCTGCTGGCAGCTCAGTGTCCCACTCTGAGTGGCCACCACCACCTCTTGCTGTCCCACACCTCTTTGTGCTTCCAGGTGTTTCTTTCACAGTTGTTTTGTCTTCTGTAAATAACATTAATTAATAGTTACTACAGTTAATACTGCATAATGTTTAAAAAAATAATTTCCTCCAACACTTACTGCTAATATATTAATTATATAATATAAATCTACTGATTTTTATAATAAAGATTATTTATAAAGTATTATTGTAGTATTTATAACCAATTTTCATATACTTTATCATCTCTTTATATAATCACCTATAAAACACATATCTTTTCAAGATCCTACTTTTGATTCTCCAACTACTTATAATCACTTAAACCAAGTTAACTCTCTAATTAGTCCTTTCACTAACTCTGTAGTTTAACCCAATACCAGCTCATAATTTTAAATGTTTTTCAGAATTCAAAAAGAAAAAAAAAACCTGGGTGTTACAAACAAGGCAAACTGAAGAAATTTTATTTCCAGGCTTGTTTCTAGAGCCCTGTTTCTGCCTCTTAAGCACCTGGAAGTGGCAGTGTTTGCTGCACAGGAAAAAAAGGCCAAATATTCTGGAAATCAGGGCCTTGTGATGCTTCTCTGGCTCTGCCACTTTGAATGGATTTAGGTTTTGTCATTTTATAATACACTTAAAAGTCTCTAATGTTAATATTCCTTTTTTTTGTCTTTGATGTCTTAATACTTGCAGGGGAATGTGTGTGCTTCTCTTTTGTCAAATGTGAAATTTTTATGACATGAAAATTTTGCCTTGAATGATTTTGTTTTCACTGCTGTTTAATTCCTGCTTTAATCCTGTGCTCCTACAGCAAATTAAGAAGTTTTATTTTATTACAGGATTTAATTCAGAAATATGAAGGGGATCTCTCCCAGCTGTCAAAAAGATGTGAGGAAATGAAGAAGCTTTATAGCAACGTACTGGTACATATCACATTAAAATGCAATGAAAATAAAGCTACATTTCTTTTTTAAAGGGAAGAAAGGAGGGGAAGGGAGTGCAAGAAATTCCCACTTGCCTTAAATTTATACTGGCTGCAGAAAAAGAAATAAATCCCATATTTAACAGTGGTCAGAGATATTAAGGAGAGAGACAGAAATGCAGTGATAACCTGTGAAACTGGAGCAATATCCTGGTCCTGGGGTTAGGACATTTTGTACACATTTTCTTTGATTAATGGATTCACCTTCCAAGCTGCAGAGCCAGAAAACTTCAGGATTTGCTGAATTTTCTCCTCTCCAGCTGGAGATGTGTGGTCCAGCCAGAGAGATTAACCCAGGTTACTGAGGTAATTCAGTGTCAGCTCCCTAGATCTCTTTTATTTGGGATATTTTGGATCTCAGTTCCCTGGAGATTCCAGACAGCTCAAAGTTTGCCTCTTCCTCCTCTTCCCCTTCTTCTCTTACCTCTTCTTCCTCTTCTTCTTTCTATTAATATGAACAATAATGGAGGAATTTCACTTTTCTCTGCTCTTTAGATTTCGTTAATCTCCCGGCTTGGATCAGTCAGGTGTGCTGGAGTGAAATATTCTTTATTTCCAATGCAGGTGAGGTTTGGGGAGCCAGCAGACCTGGACTCCCAGGAGCTCTTTGGGTGGATCTCTTCCTTCCTCTGCGAGTTCAGGAAGGCGTGTGCTGAAGTCGCACCATGAGAACACACATTTTATGGGCAGGTGAGGGAAGGAGGAGCCCAGGAAACAATTTTTAATTGGTTTTTTTCATTGTTGATAAGCAGCACCTTGCCAAGCTCAGCTGTGCAGCAGAACACCTTGATTTTGAGAGACATTCTATTTCAAATCTGTAATTTTATGTGGTATTTAACCTGTAATATCCCAGGTCACTGATGAGCCTCTCAATTTTGTGCTTTTTACCTTGAGATTCCCATATATTGAAAAAAACCCTACTTTTGACCTTTTATAATTTCTCTTTTTAGTCTTTTCCTTTGAATACCCCGACTTCTGACCCAGTTTTAATTATTATTTCCATTATTCTGTATGGTGATCTAATTTCTAAAGAATACTTCACACATTTTTATAATGAAATGGGGAGCTGTTACCCACAGAGGAGAATATTTAAACAGATTCTTGTTTATTTTGTTATTAAACATTGCAAACTTACTATGTAATGAAGAAAGTATCTGGCTGAGTGTTTTATTTTGCTATTTTGCCTTGTCCCCACTAAGCAGGATGAAAAAGTAGTACTTTTTATAGCAAATGTCATGTATTTGCCATAAATGCTACAGGAATTAATCAATATATAAGATTTGCATTAGCAGGAAGAGAAGAACATCAGAACAGCAAAATAAAAAACTGTCCTGAAGCATCTAAGGAATGGACATGAGAAGGAATTATCCATGGTTTTTATAAGGGGAGATATTTCTGTTGTGTTTGTTGGCTTTTGCATGTTTTTAATTTGAATAATTACCTGGAGCTCAATGTATGGGAGGAAAAGGAGGCCTAGAGCTGCAAACACAAAATTGTGTTTAGCATTAAAAGCAGCAAACAGCTGTAAAAGGGCATTGACAAAATCTGGCATTTTCCCTGCCAGGTTTGCAAGCAGGGTGGGCTGAGAGAAAAGTGAATCTGACAGTCAGCACCAGAGCAGTGGCACTGCAGGATCTGCAGCTCCCACCCCTCATTCTGCCTGAGAGAGGAAAATTCTGCTCCCTTTTGGTTCCTTGCAGCCCTGTCCCACAGTGCCCTGCCCTGAGAGCACCCCAAATTCTGAATTCTCTTCATTTACGTGGGATGTGTGTGAGCACAGCCCCAAATTCTGAATTCTCTGCATTTACACGGGATGTGTGTGAGCACAGTCCCAAATTCTGAATTCTCTTCATTTACATGGGATGTGTGTGATCAGCCCTGGATGTGTGTGAGCACAGCCCCAAATTCTGAATTCTCTGCATTTACATGGACTCCTGTCACACAATCCTGGATCCCAGAGCCATTCCCATGGCATCAGGATCCCTGCATCCCTGAGCAGCATTCGTGGTGCTCATGATAAGTTTCATGGTTTTTCAGCTCCAAAATCCTGCTAAGTCTCTTTTAACTGAAGATTTTTTCCTTTATTTTTTTCCCTCATTACTTTTCCCCCCAAGTCTTTCTTCTCCATTATTCTGTTTAACAGCTTGTACTTGTTTTATAGCTCAACTGGCAAGGCCTCTCCCAATTAAAAATATATCCTGCCCAGTGGTTGATATCTGTGCCTTTGTGTGAACATCCTGGAGCATTAATTAAAAAAAAAAAATTAAAAATTTTAAAAATACTTCTTGGCATGGACTTCTATCCCCTTCAGAGAGCACAAAGCTTTCCTATGGAGTGAGAGCTGGTTCCATTTTCCTAAATAAGCTGCTCCTTCAGTGCCTGGGAGCTTGAGACATCCTGATTTATATGTAAAAATAACTTGCTCCATACCTCATTCTTTATTTCTGAACTTATTTAGCACAAGGCTGGGGTTTTCAGCTCCCTTAAATTGTATTATTGTGTTTTAGTGGCATAGAGAATAATGCTTTTTACACCTCAACATTTATTGGGGATTATGTAGACGAGCTCCAAGGCTCCCTGTGGATAATGTCCTGGGAATCCCTCCTCAGCAGGTGATGGGTTTATCCTGCAAAAGTCATAAAGGCTTTGGGTGATGCTTCTCTCGGTGGAAAATATTACTTTAGGAGCAGTCTGATCTGCCAGAACTGCAGTATTTTTACACCTTTACATGTTTTTTTTTTTTACAATTTTACATATTTTTCCCCACAGAGCTGATTTTTTGGCATATTTTGGAATATGAAATCTTAACGAAGGTGTTATAAGAAGTTCTGGTCACTGAAATCAATCTCAATATTTGTGTCTGTGGAGCTGTGGGTCAAATCTGCACTGAGTTTCCTCTGCTGCCAGCCCAGCAGTGTCAGAACCACTGGCTCCAGCAGCAAAAGGAGATTTCTTTGCACGTTTTTTTCCTTAAAATGCACATTTCTGGCAGGGTGACAGAGCAGGGAGGATAATTTCTGTATCTGGTGTTGGACAGGAATGTCCTTCAGCAGAGGCAGAGCTCAGAGCAGCCCCACACCCAGGCTGGGGCCCCCAGGAGAAATCCCTGCCTTTATCCAAAGCCTCAGAGCATTGGGACCTGCCCCAGGAAATGCTGGAAGGAATAGAGCTGGTCACTGCAGGGATCTGAGCTCCCACTCACAAGGGCTTTCCAGGAATTCCCAGCTTGAAATACAAATATCTTTCCCCAGGGGCAGAATTCCCCCAGGGTTTCTAACCCATAATGTGAAGAGCAGGGATTATCCAGCACTAGAATGGAAAAAATTTAACTTCCACAAATGGACAATTACATCCCAGGGCAGTGGCTGAACTTTGCTTTCCACTTTTCCTATTTTTTTTTCCCCTTTCCTACTTGAACTGCAGGCACCAGGCAGAGTGCTGCTGTTAATTTTTATAAATGAGCAGTAAAATTAAAACTGTGGTCACTTGGAAGGTGCTCTGTGCAGAAAAGCTTTGATATCACTTATGAATGCTGGTTTCTGGTTTCAATTAATGCCTTTCTAATCCAAACCAGTTTTAGGAGGAGGGAAAATGCTGTTAATAAAGAGAATAAAAGTGCATTTTTGAAAGGGCTGTTGGGTGCTCACTGTGCAACAACCAAAGCTGGAAGAGTCCTCAGAAAATCCTCCAAGAAGCTGATGGCTCAGAAAAACCACAACCAAGCTTGAAACTGCTCATCTTAAAGAAGAAAATGTGGGAAACTCCAAAGCCAGGGGCTGCTCTGATGGAGAGCCTCAAAGAGCTCCTGGGCAGAGCCTGCCCTGCCTCTCCCAGGATTTGGGGTGTGGATATTCCCAGTGCAAGGCTGCACTCCCTGCATCAATGGCTCAGTCAGGCTCCAAAATGCTCAACTGGTAAGTTTTCTCCCCACATTCAATGTAAATATGAATTTTTCCACTGTTTAAAATATCCTGAAAGCTGCTTTATTCCCAGAGTAACAAAGAGCAGGAGAGACTTTGAAAGCTCCAAATAATTCAGGGGTGAGCACTTGGTGAAAATAAGATTTTCTTTAGCACTGACTTGAATCCTTCATCTCCCAGCAGGGCGTGATGTGTGTGAGCAGCACAGAGGTTTTGGGTGTGCACAGAAATGATTGCAGGCATTGCTAAATGAGCTTTAAGCCTCCCCACTTGCTGCCTGTTTACCCAGGGATGAATTTTGCCCACTGGGGACATTTCATACAAAGGCAGTCAGCAGTAATTAAACAAGAGAAAGCCACAAAGCAGCTAAATATTGCTTTAAGCTCATTTGGCAAATGAAACATTTGAAACAAAAGGTTTCAGATGCAGATTTGAGTCCCTGGATGCAGTTTGGAAATGCTGCAATGTGTTCAGAAACAGAAATCACTGACACTTTTGCATAAGGGTAAATAACTGATGAGCTCTGCTGTGGTGATGCCATTTGCTCACAAGCACTGGCCTAAAAAACCCCAAAGGTTATTGTCCAGAAAGATCAAATACTGATGAGCAGATTTATACCCAAATTCTTCTTGTAGCTCCTAGAAATTTTCCTCAACAAGCTCTGTGGGACTTGGCCTGAAATGATGCAATTATAAATAGAAATTTGCTCAATTCCAGCCCAGAACTTTTCTCAGTCAGTAAATAACTCCCAGATAAGATCCCCAGTTGCTGCCATCAGTGCTTACACTGAGGCTTGCTCCTTCAGAACTGTCTGATCTCTCCCTCTGCTGTCAGGAATTCAGCTGATGAGGAAAATCAAACCCCATCCAAACCCTTCAGACGATGGAATTACTGAACTTGCCCTGTGCAAGGACAGCCCTGCTGTGATGCCCCTGCTCTCCGAGCTGCAGCTCCTCAGCCCAAAATGCACAAAACTTTGTGGTTCAGGTGTGTAAATCCTTTTTCTGCATTTGTCTCTCCCTTTCTGCAGGCAGGAAAGCTTTGCTGACACCCACCCAAAGGCTGGAATTCATACAAAAATATAACAGAAATACAGTAGTAAATAAAAATTAAATTTTCCTTTATAACAAGTTTTAAATGCAAATACCTTCTTTAAAAGCAGTTAATGTGTGTACTTGTTTTTTTGCCTTAATCCACCTGACCTCTCTTTTTACAGGAAGGTTAAACATGTGAATATTTCCTGGAAATATTTTGAATAAACATAAACATGAGATATATCAAGCTATTTGTGGATAGTTTAGTGAAGATTAATGATGACATCTGCAGACAACTGACAGCTGGGGTCTCAGGGGGAGCGAGAGGAACTTCCAGGGTCACATTTTCTCTCACTTTTACTCTGATGTAAACCCAGACTAAGCCTTGGACTCAGAGCAGCAGAAAAACTGGAATATTCCCAGACATCCCTGGAGGAGTAGGTGCTGCTGGAAGGACTGGCAGCGTCTGCCTGGGAGAGTTTCAAAGCCCAGGTTTCACCTGGGGCTCAGCTTTGCTCAGGGAGAAGGTCTGGCTGCTCGAAAATGCTGAATGAAGACCTCAGATGCCAGAGCTGTCAGCAGATCTGAGCAGGGCTACCCTGCACATGCAGACATCCTGCTGACTCATTTTCTTAATCACCCTGAAATTCACAGGCAGTTTGAAAATCCCCTTTCCTGAGGAGGCCATCAGAACACAGATTTATCATAGCAGAGTGCCAGGGAAACTAAAGCAGCCCAATAAATACATGTAGGAAATTGGGTTTTATTGTTTTCTCTGTTCTGCTGCTGCAGAAAGTGAAAAAAATTCCTGAAGATGGGACGGACTGAGGTGAGGTGCATTAAAATAGGCAAACTACAGAAAAAGCTTACTTCGAAAACCAAGGAAAATTGGATTTTTAGATTAAAATAAAGCAAGGAAAATCTAGGCTTGAGTCTGCATCAGAGTGAATTAAAGACCAAAACTTTCCACTCCTTGCAATCACGTGTGCAGCAGAAGATTTCATTCTACTCCTACAGGATCCGTTTACATTTTATGCTCCTGTAAATGAAGTGAAATTTCCTTTCTAAAACATTTCCAGGCTGTTTTTAAGCAGGTGAGCTTGTCTTGGGTTTGCCCAGCAAAGTGAGCAGCACAAGCCAGGAGCCAGCAGGCACAGGGACCCTGCGGCACTCCCAGCAGCTGCAGTTCCAGCCTGGAGGGATGGCAGAGCACAGGGAATGGTCTGACAGGTGGGGAATGCCATCGGTGTTACGGGATGGAGCCCCCTGCTCCCCCTCAGCCCCATCTCCTGCTCAGGGTGGGCTCAGCACCGTGCAGAGCCTGGGGGAGACCCTGCAGGGGCTGGGGGTGCTCAGCGCCCTGAAAAACCTCCCCAGGCTCAGCAAACAGAGGGGAAATATAATTAGGCTGAAGAAGAAAAGCCAGGAGAGGAAGGAGGGCTCTGTTACAGAGGGGTTAGAAAGATTCCGAAGGCCTCCAGGCACAGAGGAAGTCTGAGGCAGATTAATCCTCCCGTTTGTAAGGCAAATGACTAATTACACAAAGCAGGATGTTCTGTTGCAGAAGAGATTTGGGAGGTATCATGCAATATTGATGCAGAAATTGTATTTAATGCAGGTTTACAAGGCGAGAGGTAAAAGGAAATGCAAATGCAAACGTGGTGTTTTATCCTGTGGCTCTTCCCTCTGTCAGAAAGCTGCCCCAGTGCTGGAAGTCTCCTGTGAAACAGCAAAATTCCCCAACTGGAGGCAGTTTCAGGCTTCCACAGTGTGTGTCCAGAAAGGGAAAGAAGCTGTGAGCTTAATCTGACTGAATTTCCATTGTAGGGTGCTGTTGCTATTTATTTTACTCATTTTTTCTTTCAAAAGAAGAAACACAAAATCCCTGTTAGAGGGAGCTGGATCAATACTGAGGAATTCTTTGTCAGATAAAGTAAGAGCAATCATTAACCTTGCTGCTTATGAATTAAATGCTATCTCCACTTTTCAGCTCACCTCTCCCACAGCAAACTTCCCTCATTTTCTCAGCAATTAAAGCCCAGCTCAGCCACCCAAAAAAAAGATTGCAAGAAACAAACTTGGTGCCCTCTTCCTTCTGTTTGGGTGGGAAAAAAGAGGTGTTTTCTGACATGGATCAGGATTTTGGTGGTAGGGACTCTCCAGGCTGCTTCCTCGGGTGTGGATTTGTGGATTAGGGATATTATTGATAGCCCTGATGTCTCTTGGAGCAGCACATGGAGAAAGTTAGAGCCACAGCCCAGCTCTGCACTGCTCCAGCTGTGGGGTCCCCTGGCCAAATTCCAGCCCATTTTACTCCAGTGGAAGTCATCCAGGAGCTGGAGCTGCTGGAGAGGGGCCAGAGGAGGCTCCAGGGTGGGCAGGGGATGGGGCAGCTCTGCTGGCACTGCTGGCATTGCTCACTGGGCAGGAGAAGCTCTGGGGTGAGCTCAGTGTGGCCTGGAGGAGCCAAGAGCAAAGATGGAGAGAGGATTTCCAAGGGATGGAGGGACAGAGCACAGGGAATGGCTCCAAGCTGCCAGAGAGCAGGGTTAGAATGGATTTTAGGAGGAATATCTATAGAGACACCTGCCCAGCAGCCCACACCAACCCCTGCCCAGCAACTCCGTGCCCCGGGGGACTCGGGCAGGTTCAGGTGCTGCCTCTCAGGGAGCTGCAGCTCTTTCCCACCCTCCTCCTCCTGCTGAAATCGGGGTGCTGCGATGTCCTGGCGCTCTCCCTCGGGCTGTGCAGCCCCCAGAAGTTGCCAGGGAGGACAGGAGTGTGCGAGAGGAGGGGGCGATTCCCGGGGGAGCCTCTGTGGGGCTGAAACCTCGCCAGGTGAGCGCCGGGCAGGTCTGCTGTGACCTAAGCGCTGCGGAGGGGGGGATTGGTGACGGGAGAGCGGGGGAACAGAGACACAGAGAGAGAGAGGGAGGGAGAGAAGGGGAGTGTGCAGCCCTGCCGCTGCTATCAGAGCAGCAGCTGGCAGCTTTGGGAAGCTCCCACTCTCCGCTCCGAGCATCCCGGATCCGCAGCTGGAACCGCCGGCATGGCAGCGCCAGACGGGCTCATTGCCCCGCCAGCTCTCGCTTCTCCCTCTCAGCAATAATTCACCTGAGGGCTTTTCTGCACCCCACCTCCCTTTCTCACGCTCTTTTTTTGATGTGGAGAGAGGGGAGAAAAGGGGGTTCTGGGCAGCGCGCGTTTCTCTGGGCGGCTTTTGGCGGCGTGGTTTAAAGAAAGAAAGAAAGAAAAAAAAAAAAAAAAAAGAAGAAGAAGAATAAGAAGATAAAAAAAAAAAAAAAAAAAAAAAAAAAAAAAAAAGAAGAAGAAGAGGAAGAAGAGAAGAAGAAGAAGAAGCCATAGAGCGGTGCCGGCGGGAGGCAGAGCGGAGCGGTGGCCGGAGCGGGGCGCGGTGCGGACCATGGGCTGGCGGCTGCTGCTGCTGGCCCTGGCGCTGGGCGGCCGCGTCGCCGCCGCGCAGAACGACACGGAGCCCATCGTGCTGGAGGGCAAGTGCCTGGTGGTGTGCGACTCCAACCCGGCCCCCGACGCCAAGGGCTCGTCCTCCTCGCCGCTGGGCATCTCCGTGCGGGCGGCCAACTCCAAGGTGGCTTTCTCGGCCGTGCGGAGCACCAACCACGAGCCCTCCGAGATGAGCAACAAGACGCGCATCATCTACTTCGACCAGGTGAGCGCCGCGCCCGCCGGGGCTGGGCGAGCATCGCCCGTGGCAACAGGTGCCCGCACCCCGCACTCCGCACCCCGCACCCCGCACTCCGCACCCCGCATCCTGCATCCCGCACCCCGCACCCCGCATCCCGCACCCCGCACCCCGCATCCCGCATCCCGCATCCCGGCCGGGAGCTGGCAGTCCGCCCCGGGAGAGGGGCAGGGCACGGCGGGCTGAGCCTGGGGCTGCGCGGGGTCCCCGTTTGTCCCGCGGGTGCGGAACCCCGGCTCCTCCGCAGCTGCGGCCCCGGAGAGGCGCGGGCGGAGCGCGGGAGGTGCCTCGGCGCTCGGTGGCATCGGCGCGGTGACATCGCCCCGAGGGGTTTGGGACGGTCTCAGGGTTGGGTTTAGATGGTTTGGGCAGCTTTTGAGTGGGGAAGAAGAGAGAATTGTGAGGGAAAACGCTGTAACTTTCCCGGCACATCTGGCGGTCCAGCTGCGCTCAGCTCAGCGCCGATATTAACGGGCAGGTCCCAACACACGCTTCAATGCCAGCTCCCGGAGTCCCTGACACTGATGGCTCTCCTTGTCCCTACACCCTGCCGTGCTCAGCAGTCGGTTGTGGCGGCAGCTGCAGCCAGATGTGCCCCACAGCTTAGTGCTGGCACTAAAATCACCCCAAAACTCCACGGACAGTCCTGGAGGCTCCCGAGGGCTCTGCCTGCCACAGAGGAGCCTGGAAATATCAGTTAAAAATAACGCATGATTAGGTGTTAAGAGAGCAAAATGCAGTCATTACAGAGGATGTGTAGCATACGGGTGATGCACTCATCTCGTACATCCCCCTCTGTCACTGCTCCCTGTTTAATTAAACCCTGATTATGATTATTAGTGCTGGTGCAGAGCTGGTTCTCGCAGCCGGGCTGGGCTGGGCTGTGCCAGGTGCTCCAGTACCTCAGCCTGAGAGCCGGGTTTGCCTCCTGCTGCTCCTGCAGTCCTTGCTCACACCTGGCTCCTTGGGAAGGCAGCCCTGGCTTGGCCACTTTTCACCCAAAATCCACGTGCCACTCCCAAAATTGGTGGGTTTGTGTCATTTTGGGGAATGACGAACAAAAACGCCTCTTTAAAAACATGTGTGGAAGAAAGGACTTGAGGGTATGGTGTAGAAGCAAAGTGAGAAATAATTCCCATCTTAGTTTGTTTGTAGCAAAGTTGTCCTATAAATACAACTAAATACCCATTTAATGAGTTGTTCCAAAGTAAAAGAGAGAAAATGAATAAACCAGCTTAGATGTAGATTAAATTTTCCATGGGCAAATGGTTTCTAAATTAAATAATTTCTTTAGCTGTACTAATCCCCATGCTGTATTTTTCTGTTTGTAGATCCTTGTAAATGTGGGCAATTTCTTCACGTTGGAGTCTGTCTTTGTATCACCACGGAAAGGAATTTACAGTTTCAATTTTCACGTAATTAAAGTCTACCAGAGTCAAACAATTCAGGTATGTTGATGAGTATGATTATAAAATCTTTATTTAAATGGTTTATTTAGGAGAGAATATTGACTGAGCATGGGAGCATTTAATATGATTTAAAGGAGAAATAGCTTCGTTTACAGCAACCTGTGGCGTTGACTACCTAGCAGTAGAGCCCATTAATTTAAAATGAACAGAAATAAATCAGGATCCTCACCTCAGATAAATCACCACAATTTCACTTCCATGCCATGAATATCTTGGTGACATAAAGCATTCCACAGAGTGAGTGATCCAAGAGTAAAGAGAGCTCTGAATTTCCCTGCCATGCTGTTGAAGAGTCGTGTTTGCTCCGGGTTAAACTCACTGTGTGGAGCACAGGAGTTCTGGGTACCAGATTCGAGTGGTTTTGGAACAATTTGTGCCCTGGCATCTGGTGCCAGGTACCTGTTATGCCCTCAGTGTGCTGAGGACCAAGGTTGGTTATATCCCTACAGCAATGTCTTCTGGGGAACATTTACAGCAATTTAAACTCCTTTTTTCATCATATAATGTATAAAAAGTGTGTGATGTATTAGAGAAAAGGGGTAATTCTGCACTTCCTTTTGTACCTTAATAGCAGCAGAGCTGCCTGATTAAACACAAGAGGGAAAAGCCTTTAAATTCCTGAACATCCCCTTGCTGAGCCAACAGCAAATTCCTTAAGTAATTCCTTCATCCCCCTGCCAGGTCACGCAGCTGCTGTGACACCTTCCCGAGCTGGAGGAACCTCTTGGCTCCCCTGCTTTCCACCCAGCAGAGCTCCAGGTCCACAGAATGTCTGAGCTCTTGCTGCTCTCTGCTCTCCTGGGTGGGTTTGGGGCGTGCCAGGCTGAGCTGGGCTGGGTTTCTGCAGGAGCAGTGCTCAGGGATCTCTCTGTGCCTGCTCTGCACCTCCTGGCAGAGCTGGTGAAACCTCGACCCCATCTCTGGGGAAATTCCAATCAGGTCAATGACAAAGCCTTAAATGAAACACTGACTTCACAAAAATCTCTACAATGAGCTTTTCATCTGTTTAATGTGCTCAAAAAGTGTTCTTTTCACTCTCTGGCATGCTGAAGGTTGAATAACTCTTTGTCAACCCCTTCAGCGGATTTTAAATGCCCCTTGCCAAGAAAGATGCCAAGCCTTGGCTTCTGGAAGTCCAGCTCAGACCCTGGAATTTCACAAACCAGGAGCTCAAACGTGGGAGTCTGGGGCTCGTGGCAGGGAGTGTTCCCACCTGTGGCTCATGGCCTGAAATCTTTCATGGATAAGAGGTTCTGAAGTGATGGATGGGCTGTAGAGCAGTCAGTGCGAGACCATCCCTGCAAACCTTCATGTGCCTTCTGGTGTGATTAAATTCCTGTCAGATGATTCCAGTGGAACCTGATGGAGCAGAAAGAGTGAGAAACCCAAGCCAGGCAATGAGTAAAGCCCTGATGCCCTTTTCCTGTGGGGTAAATGGGGAGGAGAACCAGAAACCATTGCAGTGGATCAGACTGGTGTGAGCCTCAGCCACAGCCAGCCCCACTAAATCACCTGCAGGCTCCCCACACAAGTGGTGCTGCTCTGCCCCCACAACATCTGCTAGAGCCATTAAATATCATTAAACTGCAGTTGTTTCCCTGGAGACATCTGATTAAGTGGATTTCCCAGACAGGTGAATCCCAAATAAATACCAGCCTCTGCTGTCCTGACTTCTGCTGAGCACTAATTTATTCTGTGGTGACTCCCATTAAAATTAATGGGACCATATGCACGGCCAGCACCGTGCATGTGGGTAAGCATCCCATCATTCACCCCCTGTGACTGCATTAGAGCTGCTTGGAAAGGAAAAGCAGCAAAGCTGAGAGCTTGCCATGGGGGAAATGAAAAATGCCTGGATCTGCCCATTCCCCCAGGCCCTGCCCATCTTTATTTAGAGATGCTGCTTTCAGAGCTGTTCTGGCTTCAGAAGTGTTTTATAGAAAAAATGGAGCCAGTTCATAAAGGTAAAAATCTGTTCTAAACTTCACAACTAAGTATTGAGAGGGACACACATTTTGTTGCCAGTGAAGTGTGAGCTCCCAGCCCACTGTGGTGTGACACCTCGTGTAACATCTCTGGGTGCCCAAATTTCTTGAAAATATATATTTATTTTTCCTGTGTGACTAAATAACCCTTGAGAGGCAAAGTTGTAGCAGCCGAGGTGATGCCTCACTCAGCTGCAGGTCCAGCTCATGAACATCCACGTGCTTGTGCCAAATAAATGTCATTATTACTTTAAAACAACCCAAAAAGCACTGAAAATCAGGCCCTTGCACCGTGGTTAATATTGAGGGGTAATTATTGATGGTTTGCAGTTAATTAGAGCTTCTCAGGGGCTCTCTTGCAGGTGAATTTGATGCTGAATGGGAAGCCAGTGATCTCTGCTTTCGCTGGGGACAAGGACGTCACCCGTGAAGCCGCCACCAACGGGGTCCTGCTGTACCTGGACAAGGAGGACAAGGTTTACCTGAAGCTGGAGAAGGGAAACCTGGTTGGTGGATGGCAGTACTCCACATTCTCTGGCTTCTTGGTCTTCCCCCTGTAAATCAGTTTTCCCGTGGTGTCCATCCCGGTGTGGACTCATCCTCGCCTCCGCTCCACGAAGATCGTTTTGCCACCATGGAGTGATGGTTCCTTATTGCTTTCTCATGGGTGGTTTTGGATTCTCTCCATGGATTCTGGCCCCATCTGAACCACTCAGAAGTTCCACAGAATTTTGTGTGTCCAATATCTTTGGCCTGAGACTAAAGCAGACAATAAATATCAACGCTTAAGGTTTCAGCCTAAAGCTGCCTGCAAGATTTATCCCAACTTCACTTCCTGGATTCGGGGAAGAAGTGGATTTCCTTTACCTGTGAAAAGACTGGCACTGAGTCTTTCATGTAGGAGAGTTTGAGTTCAGACTTCAAGCAGGAGTTAGTGTGTTGCTGCCAAAGAGTTGTGTGTTGATATATTGATATATTGGTCATGTTTCTGTCCTGGGCACTGCCACCACCCATCCCACTGTCTTAGAGAGGTCATTCAGATCCTGAGTGGCTGGCTTGAGCTCTCCTCTGCGTGTTGTGTGTTGGATGGTTCTCCCAAATATTTCAGCTCAGCCCCAGCCAAGTCCAGCCTCCATGAGCTGAGGGGTCATGGATGTGCTCTGGTTGGGTATGGAAGGGGTTCCTCTTTTCCACGTGCTGGTTCCTAAAAGGAAAAGCAGATTCTACCCATTCAGGGTTACAGGTGGGCGTGCAGGCACAGCTTTGCCAAACAGCTTTGCCCTGCAGGACACCTCACACTTGTTCTTCAATTTAATTAACTTGATTGATAATTACTGCTTTATTCAGCTCCTGAGGGATTCCTTCCTTAGACACAACCACTTTGTCAGCTGGAGATGAGATCCCCCTTGTTTGTATTTCTGTGTATTTCCCAACCCTTCTGTTGTGTTAAAGGTCTTTTCTGGTTTTGCCTTAACTCCACAGGTGTATAAAATTTTAGATTATTTGTTTCACAAATATGAAAGGCAAATAACTGGTACCTAACTGGGTACAAAAGCTTCCCAGCTTTTTGTACAGATCATGTGAATTCATAAACTTATTTATTATCTCATTGTTCCATAATAAAGATTAACATATATTAGCTGAATTTTTGACCTTTGGATTTTGGGAGTTGCTTCATACTATTTTTTTATTGGATATAATTATTATATGCAAAATGGAAGCTTTTGGGATTCACAGAAAATATCCCAGGAGGCAGAAAAGCTGCCATGAGTTAGTTAGCAATCAGAGTGATCTAGAAATAACCTATGCATTTTATTTAAAAATAGAATTTAGGCAGAAATCCTGGCCTCACTGAAGTTGGTGTTAAGAATCACATTGATTCCAAAGGATTTTGGATGAAACCTCTGCTTTAGGTTCTGCCATCAGCATCAAATTCCAGTGCCATCAGATTGATATATTCAATATTCAATATTCAATAAAATGATTTTCACGTGAGCTGCTAACAAAACCTTCATCCCCTGTGCCCCAAATACCCTGAATTGATGGATCTTTGTGCCTTGCATATCATGAAGGATGTGGTTCTGAATTAAAAATTCTGTGTACTTGAAAACGTGTGTGGGTGGAAGCATCTGCAGCAGCCTGGGAGCTTCCCTGGAAGCCACTTTGGGCTGGGATTTTTGGGATCTGTCTCCAATTCCTTCCCTTGCTGTGCTGTTGGTGTTCTGGTGACTGGAAATCTGGTCGGTGGCTGCTTGCTGCTCCAGGTGAGGATATCAGAGGTGGCACAGCTTTGTGCCCAAATTCCTGATTTCTTCACCCACCACAAGAGATTTTGGGCTGTTTCTGGAGGGTTGAGGGTACTTTGCACTCCTGTAAGACAGCTAGGAGATGATTTTTTTACACAGTTTTGTTCCTGTACTGAGCACTGCAGCTGGGGAAGAAGTGGAAGGAGCTGGCAAGAAGGTGAAATGTTCACATTGCTGAAAAATCTTAAAAAGTTGTGATGACCAATCAAAACGTGTTACTGCTGTACCCCCAGATGTGTGTATATAAATATATGTATATCTAAACCACCTGGAACTGCAGATCATAGTTTGCATGATGTTACAAAGAGGTTACTTGTCCTAAGAGTTTATTTCAGATGGAAGCATTGGTATTTTGTATAAAACTGGTCAAATCTGCCATCTCCCCCTGCCCATGGATATATCTGTAATGTAAAAGAAATGTTGCTACTGAGACAGAAGAAAAATGGCATTAAAGGTGTCAGTATAATTTCTGAATGAAGTATTTAACTTCTTTAATTTGTGAACACATGAGCTTTAAAGGCTGCTTCAGCACCCAGCAATAATCCTGAGCTAGCTCCATATTGCTTTGATTGCCCCTCAGCAAAACATTTCTATTTCTTCAGAGTCACAAATGCTTATTTAAACTTGAGCTGGAGAGACTGGGGAGTTATTCACTCAAGGGATACATTTTGATGGAAAAGCTTCCAAAACCAGAATTTCCAATTAATTATTTTGCTGGTGAAAGGAGAGGTTTAAGTGGAGCTGCTGTGCTCACTCAGAGGTGGCCTCTGGGGCCAGGCAGGTCACACTCAAACATTTAAATAAGAACAAACTGCAGGGTTTAGACACAACTTGAGCACCAGATCTTGCCCTCGTTTTTATTGTGCTGTCCCACCTTTATTGTGCCAGCAGAACTGCTCCCAGAAGAGAGAGGATGAGCCAGGCTGGAAAACAAAATTCCTTTTCCCTCTGCCTTCCATGTCCTGCCCCAGCATTTTCCTGCTGAGGAGCCCCAGCTCAGGAGACACTTCCCTTTTTAAGGGCATTTATGGCTGGGGGTTTGATTGGTTTCAGAGAACTCCAGCCCTGCACTGGGCTGCTCTGGAAGGTCAGAGCTGATTTTGGGGAGGGCACAATCCTGCCCTGCTGCACAAGGTGAGGATCCACACCCACATCCTGCTCCCACTTTGCAGCAACTTTGTACCTTACAAAGGCTGAATGTGCCAGAAAACTTTATAGCCACACATGGTAAGGACAAAGGAAAGAAGTTACTTCCTGAGAATAAAATATTTATTTTATTATCAGTGAATTCTTTATGAATGAGAGCAGGATTGTTACTTTTTTATCTGGTTTATTTATATTTTATCCTTTTTTTCTTTGTGAAACTGAGGGGAAAACCCCTCTCTATTTTCCTTTCTTTCACTCCTCAGTGATGTAGATGCTGTTGACAGAGCTCATCTCTGTTCACCCAGTGTGGAAATCTGCTCTGTCTGCTGGATCCTCTGTGCTGTCAGCAATTTGGGCTGCACAAGCCAAAAAACTGCAGAGCCCAAAACAATTCTGCTCAAAAGGACTTGGTGGCAAAAGTATTTTTGAAAAGGCACTGAGGTAACTTTGAACTTTTCACAAGCTCTTTTGTCACTAAATAAAAAGGAAAAACCATCTTTGAACCATAGAGAAGGAAAATATATTCCCTTTTTTAACAAGGCTTTATGTGTGGTTTATGTTACATCATTTTCTAGCAGCGTCTGAACATTTTATCAGTGTTAATTCAATCACTTTGGCCTTTTTATGGCTCAGCAAGTGCTGCAACCAACTGAGAAAATGGGGACAGGGTTTGGGAAATGATTCCCAGGTGCCAGCACATCCAGTCCTGGTCCTGTTCAGTTTGCTGGATCAGTTCTTTTCCTGAGACAGGACATTTTTAAATACAAAGGATGGTTCTGGAGTAAACAGAATTCTGCTGTGTTTTCCCCTTCCACATTTTATCTACATACCATTGCTAGAAAGGCAAATGCAGTGGAAGAGTGTGAGATGCCTGAAGAATTTCCCAATTAGCTGCCAACTCCTTGTTGAAGCCCCCAGAGGAACACAGCTGCACACAGAATATTTTTACAAGTGGATTTTAGAACAGAGAAATAAATGCAAGGAGCTCTATGTCATAATCACACCAAGGGGCTGAGCCATTAATATGAAATACAGGCTGAAGAAAACAGAGAAATGTTCCCTCCCTTGATGTTCTCCTCCTTTTGTAGGGGGTTCTGAGCTGGGAACATCTTTTGCCTCAGCAATTCACGGTGCTCTTTATATTGTAAGAGCTCTATGAAATATTCAGACTCTTTGTTTTCCACAGATAACATCACCCAGATCACTCAATGGGAATACATGAAGATGCCCAGGGACAGAATTTATTGGCTGGCATATGCCACAACAATATTTTTTTTGGTGCTCTTGCTGTCCAGACAGAAAAAGCTCCTTTGAGAAAAGAAAATTGTCCTCAGCTGAGGTTATTTATCTGTTGCTGGGTGGGGATGGGGAAGGGAATAAAGCTCTTTCCTACTCTTGGGGGAATTAATATGAAGAATGATGATCAGATCAGTGCCTGGGATAAAATTGGGATGGGGACAGTGGGGAGGTGGCTGGGGGAGCCTGCCTGGTGTGAGCTGTGAGCTGAGGTGTTTGATGGAGTTGTGATCTCTGTTTTCATCCTCACACCTGGAGGAAAGGGAAATTTGCATCATTTTTAACAGGTTCTTCTCCTTCCCCTCTTCCCCCCATTTTCCTTCTGCCTCGTGCTTCTTTGCTGCAGAGGAACAAAGTGATCTGCAAAGGCTCATTTCTGGAGAGGGAGGCAATTTTTTACTTTTTTTTTCCTTTATTTTCATTAATAAATCTCCCTGGGCACTGAAGGAAGACACTGAAGAGAGCTTCAATCCCAGGAAAATGGAAATAATTCCATTGAGCAGCTGCAGGAGTCAGAGCCAGGGTGGAACTGCTCAGAGCAACCCAGATTTAAGGCAGAACAGGAGATAACACGAGCTACAGATCTCTTTAAGGACACCTCATCCCTCATTTCTTGGAGAGAAATAAACTCTGGCTCATTTCTAGAAAGCCAAATAATGGAAACATGTGAGGAATGAATACCTAAAGCACAGGAATGCTGAGGAACATCAGGGCTGTGTAAGAAATGAATTCTCCAGCAGCATCGAGTGTTTTACTTTTTGTGGAGTGCTTAAATGGATTTCCACAAAAATAATAAAGGCTTCTGGAGGAGATAACTCCAAGGCCATCTATCTCTGTTGCCTTGAATTCAGTAGTGCTAAGTGAGATAGTCTGGGCTTATTCTGCTGCAAACACTGATTCAGTGGGCAGGATTCAGCTGTCAGCTCCTCTTTGTACAGGGATTATTTCCCTGATCCTTTTCTTCAGGTTTCCTGAGAGGCAGCTGAGGGTGTGCAGCTCTGATCACACACCAGGAGCAGGAGCTGTGCTGAGTTCAAAGCCTCAATCTGAGCTGCAGCCCCAAGCCCTGGGTTTTTAGGAGCTGGATTGAATATCCTGCACATCCCTCAGGTGGAAAAGGCTTTTTTGTGCTTGTAGGTGTCAGACACAGGGGTGGCTTAAATGAGGTGTGCAGTAATGACAGCAGCCAAGAGAACAGCTGGGAGCACCTCTGAACTCTGATGATTTGTCAGGAACTCACCCTGAGAGGAGAAATGTCACTGATCTGAGGGTTTGCAGTGAAAGGCTGCTCAGCAGAGCGGGACAAAATGCAGCAAACACGTTTGGTGGAGAAAAAAATGTGATGGCTCACAATATTGAATTATTTTTTAGGTGCAGGAAAGAAAAGAGCAAAGCCTGATGTGCAACAGCACCTGCAAAACTTGCTGAAATAATATTTTAAAAATCACAACAGGAACACATTGTTTAAACAATAAATCAGTAAATCAATAATTCTTTAAGCTCTGCCGGTTGTGCAACTTCAGGGGCAAGCCAGGGGTGCCTACAAGTGGAGTTTTTCCCTCTGTAGTAAATCTGAGTTTAAGGTGCCTAAAAGGGCATTGTTGGGGTTTTTTTTTTCTGGAAAGCTCAGCTAAGGAATTTGCTTTTCATGATGCCCCAGAGGGTCCCCACAAAGTAATAAGTCAGCATCATTTTCTAGCTGCAGCTGATAGCATTTATTGCTAATTCTTTAAACCCTTCTTTAAAAGAAAACAAGTCTGCAACCTGCATTGCACCCACAGGAATAATCTTTCTTTTCCTCAGTTTGGTAATTCAATTGTGACTTGTAAACTTGTGCAGCTGTAGCAAAAAAAAAAAGTCTACAGTCAACTCTAATCTATCTTGAGGAGAGTAAAAAGTGCTTACCAGCACTGGTGTAGTAAATCCTGGCTGCTTTATTAAATAAATGTAGGATTTCACTCAGAAGCCTTAAGGAAGAAGAGTTTTAAAATATCAGAACAATTTAGCACGTTCTGAAGCTGAATAAAGATTGATTGAATTTCGCTGTGAGATAGAAACCGATGAGAACCCAAATGCCACTTAAATAAACTTAGAAATGTGGCATTATTGGTGTCTTCTGAATGGTGAGAGACAAACCAGGAGAATCCCCCAGCCTCGGGGGATTTTTGGAGCAGAACTGACTGAGAGTCCGGGTTGCAAACCCAGCAAGTCAAAATGAGTGTATGAGGTGACAAGAACATCTGCTGCTGGTTTGGGATTTTGTTGAACATGACCTCAAGCACGCTGAAGGAAGAAAAATTCTGCTTTATTGCATTGGTCTGGCCAGAACTGATCTGCTCAGCAGATGATCTATGGATCCAAGAAATCCTTAAAATGAAAAGTTCTTAGCTGATAGAGGACACTTCCTCCAGGAAATGACACCAATGGCAGAGTGATGTGTGAAGAGAGCTCTGAGCTGCACTCTTGAATTTCAGATTTCAGGGGTGGAGGAACTGAACTCGACACGCAGAGTCCTAATTCACCCCTGAGATTCCAGTAAAAGTCACATCCAAATGCAAAATGGAATTGCTTCTGCAGAAATCCTGGGGGAGAATGATGCATATTTCATGCTGGGACTTCAGCTTGGTTCATTCTTGTTCCAGCTCCTGCATATTTCATACACACTGGAGGTGTCCAGGGCCAGGCTTGGGGGTTTGGAACAACCTGGGGTGGTGGAAGGTGCCAGGGGGTGGAATGAGATGATCTTTAGGCTCCCTTCCAACCCAAAACACTCTGGGGTTTTCTATTTACAAATTTGCAAAGCTATAGACAACAGAAATCAAATTAACAGCCTGGAAAACATGGCCACAGAGAAATATCTTCTAATGGCACCACAGCTTGGAAAACCCTTGATGCAAGAAAATTGATTGTTAATTGTCCATTCTCCAACCAAAGCAGGGGGCAAAATTAATCCTGATGAACAAAGTTATACCAAATCACCACTGA